CTAACCCTAACCCTTACCCTAACCCTAACCCTTACCTTAACGTGAATCGGCTTGCTTTCAAAGCACTTTTTAAAGCGCTCTTTTTTCTCCGCGGTTGCTGATGTCGCGCTGCTGATGACGTCAGCGACACGCTTTAATCGGGCGCGCTTTAGTGGACCGCGGTTTTGTCGTGCCACGGAACAGGTAGTCCTGGACTCAGTAAATAAAATTTCTCAAACACGAATTACTTGGTAATTTCCTTCCCCCTCTGATTTGCTTTACTTTTGCTCAGATAGATTTGACTAACTTGTAGGCTGAGTGAAAAATTCTTCATTTTCTCTCAGGTAGCACATTCGTTTTTTTTAAAAAAAGGAATCACCTTAAGAGGAGAGAAGGAAGAAAAATTGCCCGAGTTTTATTAGTCAACTGAAGCTGTTAGCAACTTGCATTTTAATCATGTTTCATACTTTAAATTCAAGGAAGGTATGATGTACACAATTGCGCTCTGGTGTTGGATTGTAAATCTAAAACAAATGAGGTGAAACCGGATATTTTCCTGGGAAGATTCCTAGATAGTTGTCCTTTGCCTGTACAGAAAGAAAAGGCGTTTTATCTTGGAGATGGATGCAACATCAAGAGAGAGATCCCTCTTGTGAGACAACAAACAACATGTTTCTTCCATGTATAGACTCAGGTTTCTGGCAACTTTTTGACCCTGTCTTCTCAGTCGATGTTGTATCCTCAAGGTGTCTTTTTGGTGTCTTATTGCAAATTACATCTGCAACAATTGGATATTTTTCTGACCTTGCCTTAGAGATCCAATATAGAGGTTTCACAATTACCAAGCTGGGAAGGTAGTTTTGTGTAGCCATTAATGTCAAAAAGTATTACAAATGGCATATTGGATAATAAAATTGGGTCCTTGTTTTTGCATGATCGCTGGCCTGGGGTAGTTTGTTAGTTTGTGAGCTCTTTTGCTCTTCATTGCTTATTGTATACTCCAACCACTTTACGGAGGTCAATCTGCAGAGGCTGTCTTTGGACTGACCTGATCAAGGGGAGTTAGGGTGACATGTAAGTACCCTAAACCAGCTGGCTAAGTAACCCAGAGAAATGAGGGGTCCTTGGGGCTCTCTGAGCTTGACTGTTTTCTTGCAGACATTTCATTACCCAAACTAGGTAACATCATCAGTGCTAGTGACGATCACTAGTACTGATGAAGTTACCTACCTTGCTTAATGAAATGTCTGCAAGAAAACAANAGGGTGGGGGAGGGAAGGTAAATATTTGTAAAAGCCTTTTTTTTAAATTTTCAATACAAATAAAAATTTGGAGGCACTTAGAACACCTCACAAACTCTCACTGAAGCAGGTTCATTGGTGCAGTACTTCAACCAATTTAATTTCACCTTGAAATACCTCCCAGGAGGAAAAAACTTTCTGGAAGACGCCCTCTCAAGAATGCCCCAGTACAAGAGCAATTGAGAGAAGGTGGTTAATGCAATTATTCCCCTACCCCAGATAGTGGCCCAGGTGATCATGCGCTGATAAACCACATGACAACTGAGCACACCAGAGGAAGAACTGACCCAGAAACTCAAAACCAAGTTGCAAAGTGACTCCTAGTTCAAGGAACACCCACAGTTCTTGACCAGTAGGGATGAGCTGGCCTGGAAGGGGACTAAATTATATGTTCCTAACTGACTGCAGATTCAGGTCCTATGAAAGAGCCATGCCGCCAGACTGTCAGGAGACTCTGGCTTCCTGAAAACCCAGAGACAGTTCTGGTGGCCAGGGATGAAAAAAGACATTGAGAGCTATGTAGAGTTGTACAACCTATGCAAAGATGACAAAAAGACCAGGAAAGCTCCCTGGGTTGCTGCAGCATGTAGTCTAGCCCATCTGGCCGTGTCAGGAGATTGCAATTGATTTTATAGTTGAGCTTCCAGAAACTGGAGGGAATACCGTGATTTGGACAGTGATCAACCTATTTTCCAAGCAGGCTTATTTCATCACCTTCCCTAGATTACCATCTGCCCACAGACTGGTGAAGTTGTTCCTGAGGCATATATACTGATTGCATGGAGCCACATGCAGAATTATTTCAGATCAGGGGATCCAACTCATGGCTAGGTTCTGGAGGAAGTTCTTAAAGTTCATTGGGTGCTCCCAGGGCAGATGGCAGCAATCTGTAGCTCCAGTGCTGCATATGGCTTTTTTTGGCCCTCTGCTGTGGCTCCCTGTTGGGTGATCCCACCTTGCCCTCCCCTCCCAGTCACTCCTCACCTGAGAAGGTAAGTGTGATGGCGGGGGATGGAGAAGCAGCTCGGGCTGATTTTCCGGTGCCTTACTCTTGCTGGAGCTTCTTCCAGCCCTTGTTGGTGCTGAGCATGCCTCGGTCACTTGGGGAGATGCACAACCTAGTCTCTGTCCCAAGACACTGGCCTGACCTGCCTGTGACCAATGCTGGTCTTGCTAACAAAAGGACTGACAGGGTAGGAATGGGATCTGGGAGGAGGGGATGTCAGAAAGGGGGACGGGCCTGCAGCATCCAGCACTTGCACACTTTTGCTGCTTGGAGGACGCTTTTCAATGAAAGCTGGTGGCAGCACCACTCTGCTGGAGGAGTAAAGAAGCTCATAGCAGTGGGAAAAGATGTCTGGCCCCGCCAAACCTTGCACGTCCATGCTCAGAGAAAGCCAGAGCGCTTTTGCCAAAGACACTCACCCATCAACTGATTTCCCCTCCCCCTCCCCCCCCTCTCGCTCTCTGTGTAGCACTCCCTCGTGCCATTGCTAGGACACACTTATTTGGCCTTGGTCCTCCGGAGCCTTAGCATTGTTATGTTTGGCACATTGGGGGAAAACATTCTACATTCCATAAGTCCCCCCCCCCATAAGTATGGCAATTAAGAAATTAAGCAAGAAAAATATGGCTTCATCTAGAGTCATTTCGAGAGTTGACAGTTGGCTCCCCTTATGTGGAAAGGAGCATCTGTAAGATATAAATCACAAACAGCAATTAAACCCCTTTCAGTCACCCCCCCCCCATCTATTGATGCTTTGGGTGTTGGAGGGTTCTTATCATGGAATTTTACTAGTCTGTCTGCTCTCACGTTGGCAATCTTAACCCGGGTGGCCTCTGATAAAGGATATCCTTTCCATTGCCCTAAATATTGTAACTTTCCTTTATAGAGCCTAGAATCTAAAATCCGCTTTACTTCATAATGGGTCTCCCCTTTCACTACTATGGTGGAGCTATTGGTCTCAATGTAGAGCCAACTACAGGTTTTATCAAGCTACTGTGGAACACTGGGTGCA